TTTTCGTTTTTATTTGGCGTAGGCCTACTATTTATACGCACGTTCATGAGATCGGGTTGCTTTTTTTAGACGTTTGAGCGGGTCGCATGTCAACTTCTGGCTCAACCAATGGCATGGGTTTGGGGCGGGACTATGTGTTTAACCGACCAATGACAGACGGGGGGGGCTTAGTTTTAGGGAAATCGGTTTGAAAACAGTCATTATTTGTGCAATTTAATTTGTTGATGACACAGTGAACCAGACGAAGGCTGGACGTTTGCTCATGTCTGAGCTCATCTGAAAGCCTGGATCACAGTAAACTCTGGTGGGACAAATGAGCATCATTTACACTGTCACGAAGCAGAATCACTTCTGATGTATTTTACTTTATCCCTAAAGCCTGACATATGAAATGATACTCAGAATATATTTTTATTTTAACAACAGTTGATTGAATCTTTAGACAAAATATTGCATATGTATTTTTTTGATGAGTATCATATTTGACCCTTTAGGCTTATATAGTCTGATAGTGAGAATTTGTAGCTCAATTTTATTCAGAGCCTCAAACTGAGCAAAAATATGCAATTTGGTGCAGATGCTGATATTTATATGATGAAATTCTGATGCTTGTGATGTCATTGATTGTGATAAATCACTGAGATCTTTCTAACAGTGCAGCAGATACTGACATAAAATGATATAAATATCAGTCGTCACTCTATATCTCCAGTAATCTGTCTCAGTAAGTTGAGATTGAAATGCTCCAAACATATAATGCAGTGATTGAGAGCTGAAGAAATAAAGGCTCCTCAGAAGATGTGAGATGTTCTGGAGGCTTGTGAAGATCATTCCTCCGCTGAGGACTTAGTTTTAGGGAAATCGGTTTGAAAACAGTCATTATTTGTGCAATTTAATTTGTTGATGACACAGTGAACCAGACGAAGGCTGGACGTTTGCTCATGTCTGAGCTCATCTGAAAGCCTGGATCACAGTAAACTCTGGTGGGACAAATGAGCATCATTTACACTGTCACGAAGCAGAATCACTTCTGATGTATTTTACTTTATCCCTAAAGCCTGACATATGAAATGATACTCAGAATATATTTTTATTTTAACAACAGTTGATTGAATCTTTAGACAAAATATTGCATATGTATTTTTTTGATGAGTATCATATTTGACCCTTTAGGCTCTATATAGTCTGATATAGTGAGAATTTGTAGCTCAATTTTATTCGGAGACTCAAACTGAGCAAAAATATGCAATTTGGTGCAGATGCTGATATTTATATGATGAAATTCTGATGCTTGTGATGTCATTGATTGTGATAAATCACTGAGATCTTTTTAACAGTACAGCAGATACTGACATAAAATGATCTTAATATCAGTCGTCTCTATATCTGCAGTAATCTGTCTCAGTAAGATGAGATTGAAATGCTCCAAACATATAATGCAGTGATTGATAGCTGAAGAAATAAAGGCTCCTCAGAAGATGTGAGATGTTCTGGAGGCTTGTGAAGATCATTCCTCCGCTGAGGAACAGTGAAAGTAAAGCTTCTGGAAACAAACGCTCCTCAAAAGATCCTGAGGATCAGATTTGAGACTCTAAAACATGATTGATGGAGAATCAAGTAAAGCTGAGCTGCTTCAGTCCAGTAAGAGTTCATCTGGAGATATTACTGCAGTTATTCTGACGCTTACTTGACAAAAATCAGTCAAGATTTGACACGAGAAGCTCCAGCTGAAGCTGGACATGTATACATTAAGTACGCACACATTAAGTATCATAAGTACTATTATAAACACCATAAAGAATCATTAGATTTGTAGTGCTACTCATCTGGTGCTTTGCAGTATGAATTTTGTATGCAAAAGTGCAGAAAGAAAATAGCATGAGATGGGAATGACGTGAAGGTCAGCAAATGATGATAAAATGTTCATTTTGGCTGAACTATTCCTTTAATGAATGACTAACATAAAACCAAGCGATGAAGCTTTCCGAACTGTTTATGCTGGACTAAACAAGCATTATAAAAGGTTGCATGTGACTCAGTACAGCTGGAACAAGATGGTTGCACTTGAGTGCTTTAACAAGACCGGTTCACATCTGAGTCACACCTGAATCACTTTACAAACCTCCAGGATCTGCTTCACAAGGCCGTATAGGGGATGATTGCCTATTATCAGCCAATAGCGTGTGAGATCAGGGGATTTGTTTTATGTCATCTCTCTTCTGGGGAGCTGCTGGTCATCAGCTGATTGTATGTGAAAGAAAGAGCTCTAACAAGTGGACAAGAGAGTTGCTAGATCGTTCTTGAGAACTGACTGATTTCAACCGTCATTTGGACTTGCTCTTGAAGATTGTGATTTTTAAGCTCCTGGAAGGAACATTTCTGTTGATGTTTTGGTCTTTCACTAATCTAATGAATTCAAAAACATGCAAATTGGCAGCAATGGCGCACCTGATTTCTCGTCCAGTAGGGGGAGCTGCACTTAACTATTTCTGGTCTCACATTCATATTGTAAATATTAATTTAATTACACCAGCTTTTCTCCCCCCCAAAAAGTAAGTTAAGCTATTTTTCTCACATATGCATTCAGTCCATGTGCTAAAGTAATACTGCAATCAAATTTTGCAAACTTTTTTAAAATTATTTATTTATAATTTTTGGATAAGCCAAATTTATTAACTGTTTATGTCATACAGTAAAAAAATTTTTAAAATAATTTCCATTATTTTTTCCAAACCAAAAAAAAATATTTATCTGTACTTCAAAGTCTTAAATAATTTTATTTATGTTCCCACATACATAATTTAATTATGCCAGTTAATCCACCGAGCAATGTCTTCCCTATATATATATATATATATATATATATATATACAGTCTTAAATTATGTTCCCACATACATAATTTAATTATGCCAGTTAATCCACCGAGCAATGTCTTCCCTATCTTCCCTATTACTAACCCTTTTTTCAAATTCTGCCTTTTTCCCACCAGTGTGTTTTTAAAGTATAAATGTCCAACAAAAGCAACAAAAGC